ATGCCACACAGGCTGTCTGTGGGGTCTCCTAGCTGCAGCAGCGAGAGTTCTGCTTCATTACCTGCTCGTGCTGCTGCTACTGCTGCTACTGCTGCTGCTAGGCAGCTGGTGCACCGCTGCTCCAGCAGCAGCAGCACCAGCAGCAGCAGAAGCAGCACGTGGCTCCCCACACTCCTTGCGTCTGCTTCGGGCAGCAGCAGCCGCTGCCTATCAGCAGGACAATCTAAGCACAAGCAACCATGTGTTGCTGCTGCTGCTTCTGACCCTGCAGCAGCAGCAGCAGCTGCTGCTGCTGCTGCTGCTGCAGTGAGTGAGACGGGGAGCTCTGGGTGGTCTTCTCCTGTCTCAGCAGCACCATGCCAGCAGCCGCTGCAGCAACGGCAGCAGCTACTGCAGCAGCAACGGCCGTTGCTGCAGCAGAAGCCGCAGCAACAGCAGCCGCAGCAGGAGAGCAGTGCGCTTCCGCTGCCGCCGCATGCAGAGGCAAATGTGAAGACTGACGCACCGCATCTGCCAGCAGCAGAGCAGCAGCAGCAGCAGCAGCAGCAATGGCGCGAGAGTCGGCAGGAGGTGCAGCAGCAGGAGGAGCAGCAAGAGACACAGGAAATAAAATACCTGCAGCAGCTAAAGCCGCAGATGGCTCGTCTGCAGGCTGACCTGGAGCAGCTGCAGCAGGCGCATCAGCAGCAGCAGCACGGGCAGCAGCAGCAGCAGCAGCAGCAGCAAGAGCAGCCTTTGCTGCTGCCCCTGCGTACATGCAGCGATCCTGCATGCAAGGCTTGTTTGCTGCTGCAGGGGTTTGCTGCTGATGCGATACAGCTGAAGCAGCAGCTGGGTTTGCTGCTGCAGCGGCTCAGCAGCAGCACACCAGCAGCAACACCAGCAGCAGCACCCCCCGCTGCTGCTGCTGCACGACGCACAGCGTCTGCTGCAGCAGTAACACGGGATTCTGCACATACAGCGGCAGCAGCAGCAGCACAAACAGCTCCTGCTGCTGCTGCTGTGCGATCAGTGGTGCAGCATCGGCAGCAGCAGCACCACCACCATCATCTGCAGCAACGAGAACAACTGCAGCAGCAGCAGCAGCAGCAGCAGCAGCAGCAGCAGCAGCAGCAGCAGCAGCAGCAGCATGTAACGGGCCTAGAGAAACCTCAGGTGTCAATGCATCTGCAAGGAGTGGAGGAACAAAATGCATCAGTGCTGCAGCAGCAGGTGCAGCAACAGCAGCTGCTGCTGCAGCAGCACCAGCAGCTAGTGCAGCACCAGCAGCACCAGTTGCAACTGCAACAGCAGCAAGCGCAACGGCTGCAGCAGCAAGTGGAGTCTCTTCAGGGACAGCAGCAGCAAGTACTGCAGCAGCTGCAGCAACTGCAGCAGCAGCAGCAAACTGCACAAGAGGAGAAGGCGCAGCTGCAGGCAGCCCTGCTGTACTTCGTTACGCAGCAGAAGCAGCAGCAGAAGCAGCAGCAGTCTCTGCTGCAGCACCAGCAGCCTGCAGCAGCAGATTCATCATCATCTGTTGCTGCTGCTGCACTGGGGGCTTTGCCGCGGGCCCCACAAGGAAGAAGGAGCCGCACAACCCCACTGCATAAACACCAGCAGCAGCAACAGCAGCAGCAGCAGCAGGTGCTGATGTCTCCGTTGAGCATAGCTAGCAGCGGAGGGAGCAGCTCGGGCCCCACAGCGACAACAGCAGCAACAGCACCAATAGAGGAGGTGCAGCAGCAGCAGCAGCAGTTGCTGCTGCAGCTGCTGCAGACAGAAGACGCAGCAGCTGCTGCTACTGCAGCTGGTGCTAAACTGCTAGCAGCAAGATCGGTACACAGTGAATATACACCCTCTGCTGCTGCTGCTTCTGCTGCTGCTGCTGCTGCAGCAGCAGCAGCTGCTGCTGCTGCTGCTGCGAGACACTTCCGCAGCAGCAGCGTATCTAGCCACAGAGGTAGTGTCTCCAGCGTTTGTATATCAGACAGCGACTGACGCAGCAGCAGCTGCTGCTGCAGCAGCAACAGCCGCTGCAGCAGCAACAGCAGCAGCAGCTGGTGCTACAGCAACTATACAGAATGTCGTTTGTTTGATTTGTCTATACACCCCGTTGTCTTTTATGGTTATTCCTTTATAGCAGCAGCAGCAGCAGCAACTGCAGCAACTGCAGCAAATGCAGCAACGGTAGCAGCAGTAGTAGCAGTGACTGTAGAAGCAGCAGTAGCAGCAACCCAGCAGCAACAGTAGCAGCAAGGCAACTGCAACAGTAGCATCAAAAGTAGCAGCAACACTAGCAGCAGTGCTAGCAGCAGTAGTTAAGTGTAACAGCAGCAGCAGCAGCAGCAGCAGCAGTTAATAGTAGCAGCAGTAACAGCAGCTGCTGCACCAGTAACTGCAGCAGCAACACGTATACGAAGCTGCAGCTTTGGTACATTAAGAGTATTTAAGCAGATTAAGGAGCAGCTACTGCAGCAACAGTAGTAGCAGCAGCAGCAGCAGCAGCAGCAGCAGCTACTGCAGCAGCTACTGCAGCAGGTGGTAGTAGTAGTAGCAGCAGCAGCAGCAGCAGATGTGTGTTGTTGAGACACAAAAATTACATAATAAAATAAATAAAATAAATAAAATATTCTTATTGAATGACTAACAATCTGCTGCTGCTGCTGCAGCAGCAGCAGCAACAGCAGCAACAGCAGCTCGTCGTCCAGCAGCTGTAGGTAGTGTGGGTGGGTGGGGGGTGTTGGTACGGGGGGGTTGTTGTTGCAGCAAGAGGTTGTTTTGCTGCTGTAGATAAGAAGGAAATAAATAATATTCTTTTTTTATTTCTTTTTTTTTCTTTTATTTATTTAATTTATTTATTATTTATTTTATTTATTAATAAGAAGACGAAGAAGGAAGACATATTGAGGTGTATAGGCACCTCATAATCTTTTTACCTCCATAGATAAACACCATCACGAATTCCTTACTTTTCCTTCTCTATTTACAGCTGCTGCTGCAGCAGCAGCAGCAAACAGCAGCAAACAGCAGCAGCAGCAACAACAACAGCAACAACAATAACAACAACAGCAGCTGCTGCAGCAACAGCAACAACAACAACCTCGACAGTCAGAGCAGCAACACAGCAGCAAGAACTGTAGTACCTTCATCACCCCAAACAGCAGCAGCAGCAGCAGCAGCAGCAGCAGCAGCAGCAGCAGTAATTAGCGAAGATGGATGAGGATCTAACTCCGCCTCGTCCTCGTCATGTTGGTACTTCCTCTCTACAGGGGACCCTTGGTGCCTCACAGAATGACAGTCAGCAGCAGCAGCAGCAGCAGCAGCAGCAGCAGCAGCAGAATTTGCATGGAGGGAGCGATAGATCCCCTATAGCTAGACGTCGACAATGTAAACCCTAATAAACCCTAATAAACCCTAATAAACCCTAATAAACCCTAATAAACCCTAATAAACCCTAATAACCCCCACCCTAAACCCTTTTCTCCCTCCCCTCCCTTTCGTTCCCCTCTCCCTCCATCAATGAAATAAATAAGTATTAAATATATAAATTAGGGTTTAGGGTTTAGGGTTTAGGGTTTATATATATATGTATATATATGTGTGTGTGTATATTATATGATATAAGGGGACAGTACGGGTATAATATCTTCTTCTTTCCCTTCTCCTTCCTTTCCCCCGCATAACCGTTCTTCCTCTGGCGTTACGTCATCAGCAGCAGCAGCAGCAGGAGCAGCAGCAGCAGGAGGAGGAGGAGGAGGAACAGGAACAGTAGGAGGAACTCAACAAGGAGGAGTACTAGGGACACAACAGAGTAATAGTAGCGAGTATAGTAGTACTCCTATTGCATTACGTCGTATAAGATATGCACGTGCAGACCTAGGGGATATGGGTAGGGAATTTATATTATTAGATAAAGAAATGCATAAATTACCTGAATTACCTAAGGATATACTTACTACACAATTAGAGGATTTATTTATTCATTTTATTGAACAATTTAGACTACAAGATTATCATGGAGGTATTTATTCTTATTTATTCTTATTTATTTATTTATTTATTTATTTATTTATTTATTCTTATTTATTTATTTTATTTATTTACCCTCTTTTTTTATACACTTTTATCTACTTTTTTATCCATATATATATATACTTACCTACCTGTATATTTACGTATTTATATGTATATGTATATGTATATATGTATATGTATATATGTATATGTATATGTACATGTATATGTATATGTATATGTATATGTATATATGTATATGTATATGTATATGTACATCTATATGTATATGTACATCTATATGTATATGTATAGATGTATATATGTATATTAATGCATTAGTAGATATATGAATGCATATACTGCTTCTTTCTGCTGCTGCTCCTTGTTGCTGTTGCTGCTCCTTGGTGCTGTTGCTGCTCCTTGTTGCTGTTGCTGCTCCTTGTTGCTGTTGCTGCTCCTTGTTGCTGTTGCTGCTCTTTGTTGCTGTTGCTGCTCCTTGTTGCTGTTTCTGTTGGTGTTAATACTAGTAATTAATATAAATAAATAAATAAATAAATTATTTTATTTATTAATGTATTTATGTATTCAGTGGTGACACCTACAGAGGAAGAAAAAGAGTTAATGTCTTATGAATGGCAAAGTCAATCTATTGGGATCGATGGGATCGGTGGGATCGGTGGGATCGGTGGGATCGGGGATCGATCCCCATCATTATATACATTAAAATTATTACGTTATTTAGAGACACGTAGTACAAAAGATAGACAATCATTTAATGTATCATTACAACATATATATTTATTTAGTACCTCCCTATACACCGCAATTATTAATTCACCGCAAGACGCAACTGCTGCCTTTGATGCCTTATTAAGAAATAAATTAGCAGATCTAAGGGATATTCATGGTCTATTCCCTACAGATCATCATATATCTAATGATGATTTATTATTACAACAGGTATTTATATATATATTTACATTTTAGGGTTTAGGGTTTAGGGTTTAGGGTTTAGGGTTTAGGGTTTAGTGTTAAGAAAATAGTAAATATAGATATATGATTGAATTTTTGTTGATTTTTTTTATAAATAAGAATATAAATAGTATAATAAATAAAATAAATATAAATATAAATATAAATATAAATATAAATATATATATGTATATATATATATGTATATATACATACAGGCACCTCGTCTACGTCTACACTCTAAGCCTGAATATTTAATGGATACAATTGGATCATTAGATCCATCAAGAGATGTAGATAGATTAATTTGTATAAAAGGTGTTATACTTAGGGTCTCAGAGATTATACCAGAGATGACTCTTGCTGCATTCAGGTGTCATGGTACGTCCTCCTGTTGCTCCTGCTGCTGTTGCTCTTGCTGCTGCTGCTGTTGCTGCTGCTGTTGCTGCTGATGATGGGTTGTGTAAGTCTTACAGTCGCAGATAATATACCAGAGATAGTACTCACCTTATATACATTCACGTTGCTGCTCCTGCTGCTGCTGTTGCTGCTGTTGCTGTTGCTGTTGCTGTTGCTGCTATTGCTGTTGCTGCTAATGTTGTTGTTGCTGTTGGGGATAGTGTTGTTGATGGATATGTGTATGAGTAAATGTATTAGTAGGTTATTATTATTATTATTATTATTATTATTATTATTATTATTTGTTGTTGTTGTTGCTGCTGCTGCTGCTGTTAGTGTATGATTTGTTGTATGCATAGCTGCTGCTGCTGCTGCTGTTGCAATATGTAGGTGTTTCTGTTTGCTGCAATATGCATGCGTTGCAGCAAAAGATGCACAAGGACATCGTATATGTAATCATGAATTATATAATTGTGTATTAAATGGTGATGTATTGTCTCCTAATCGTTGTCCCTCTTGTTTATCATTAAATAGTATGTCCTTATGGATAGAACAATCTTCTTTTGCATCTAAACAATTAATTAAATTAACAGAGACACCTTCTCATCAATCAGCAGCAGCAGCAGCAGCAGCAGATAGGCAGCAGCAGCAACAAGCAGGAACAGCAGACTGTTATTATAGGATGCAACAAGGAGACACACCAAGGACATTGACACTTTATGCTTATGATGATCTTGTTGATCAATGTAAACCAGGAGATCGTGTAGAAATCACTGGTATGGATATTCTCTTGCTCCTCCTGCTGCTGCTGCTGCTGTTTGCTGCTGCTGCTGCTGTTTGCTGCTGCTGTTGTTTGGTGCTGCTGCTGTTGGTGTTGCTGTTTGTGTTGTTGTTGGTTGTTGTTGATGGTATTGCTGCTGTTGTTGTTGTTGTTGTTGTTGTTGTTGTTGTTGGGAGACAGATTGTATATGCATTTGCTGCATGTGCTGCTGCTGCTGCTGCTGCTGCTGCTGCTGCTGCTGCTGCAGGTGTATACAAGGTGTCTCCTATGCGAGTAAACCCTCGCATGCGTTTACAGCATTCAGTGTTTAGGCCTTATGTAAATATATTACATATAAAAAAAGACGAGAGGGACAAGACAACAAAAAATCCTGCTGCTGCTGCTGTTGCTGCTGCTGCTGCTGCTGCATCTAAGCAGCAACACCCACAACAATTGCAACCAGAAGAGGAGACTGTCTCCTTCTCTCCTGAATTAGAGAGACAAATCATTGCACTCTCACAACAACCTGTAAGACAGCAGCAGCAGCAGCAGCAGCAGCAACAGCAGCAGCTAGCTGTCTCGTGTGTGCCTGTCCCTAGTGGGTATATTACTGCTGCTGCTGCTGCTGCTGCTGCTGCTGCTGTGTATAGGATATATACCAGAAGCTAGTTGCTTCTTTTGCTCCATCAATTATTGGTAGAGATGACGTAAAGAAAGGAATTCTTTGTCAGCTAGTAGGGGGATCGCGACTGCAGCAGCAGCAGCAGCAGCAAATGTCTCAGCAGCAAAGGAGACAAAGACCCCATAGAAGTGATCTACATGTGCTGCTGTGCGGAGATCCAGCTACTGCTAAATCACAACTCCTTCAATATGTATACCAAATCGCACCAAGGTAGGGTTTAGGGTTTAGGGTTTAGGGTTTTAGGGTTTAGGGTTTAGGGTATGAAGAGAAAAAACTTGTACCTCCATACTGCTCGTTAGATAGCCAATCTCTGTATCCCTTTGTTTATGTTGTTATCTGTTTTTTTTTTGTTATTTATTTAGGTGTATATACACATCAGGTCGTGGTAGTAGTGCAGTAGGGTTAACTGTATCCGTTACTCGTGATCCAGACACTCGTGAATTTGTATTAGAGAGTGGCGCTGTTGTCTTAGCTAATGGAGGTGTATGTTGTATTGATGAATTTGATAAGATGGAGGATAATGCTAGGTACGTCCTGCTCCTGCTGCTGCTCCTGCTGCTCCTCCTGCTCCTGCTGCTCCTGCTGCTCCTGTTTGCTGCTGTTGGTCCTCCTTGGTACTGTTGTTGCTCTTTGCTGATGCTTTTGTTGTTACTATTTGGTGGTGGTGGTGGGGAAGAGGGAAAGAGATCGGAAGAGGTAGAAGGAAGGGTATCGGAGGTACTGCATGCACTCCTGCTGCTGCTGCTGCTGTTGCTGCTGTTGCTGCAGGGCTATATTGCATGAGGTGATGGAGCAGCAGAGTGTGACGGTGGCGAAGGCAGGGATTGTTGCTTCTCTTAATGCACGGACTGCTATCTTAGCATCCGCTAACCCTATCAACTCAAGGTATTGCTGCTGCTGCTGCTGCTGCTGCTACTGTTTGTGCTGCTGCTGCTGCAGAGATACTAGTTTGCAAGTTAGTGTCAATGCATGCACGATGTTCAATGCATTAGGGTTTGATAAAGTGGAGTGGGCCGGGGTTTAGGGTTTAGGGTTTAGGGTTTAGGGTTTGTCTGTGTTTTCACGTATTTATGTACCTCCTCCTGTTTTTTCTCTTTTTTTTTTAATTTATTTATTATTGGATTATTTTAATAATAAGTAACTAATTAGTAAATAAATAAATGAATAAATCTATCTAACTAAATAAAAAATCCATTAATAGATAACGTAAATATAGATCCGTACATATATGTATATGTATATGTATATGTAAATGTACGTTTTTCGTATACAGATACAATCATCAGCGTGCAGCAATATAGAATATAAATGTATATCCTTATATATGTAGTGATTTATATATTATTATATGAATATAATAATTAATTAGTACCCCTAAAATAAATAAATGAATATATATGTACATATACATATATATATGTATATGTATATGTACGTTTTTTTTTTTCGTATACAGATACGACCGTCAACGGGCAGTTATAGAGAATATTAATTTACCTCCTTCTTTGTTTAGTAGATTTGATTTAATATATTTATTATTAGATTCATCTAATCCACAAGCAGATAAATCTCTTGCTTATAGATTATGTCAAGCTTTTGCTGGAGATCCTAATATTGTTAGTCTTTTTCTTTTTCTTCTCCTCTTGTTGCTGCTGCTGTTGCTGTTGCTGCTGTTGCTGTTGCTGTTGCTGTTGCTGCTGATGGTGTCGTGGTCGTGGTGTGGTTCTTGGGTGTATTTGTATCTAGTGTTTTGTCGTGGTTGTGCTGCTGCTGCTGTTGTTGCTGCTGCAGTTGTTGCTGCTGTTGTTGCTGCTTGTATAATATATTATATATATATAATAAATACATCATTATATAGCTACAATTGTTGCTGTTGCTGCTGTTGCTGCTGTTGCTGCTGCTGCAGGATACAGAGAGTCATAGTCCACCATTAAGTAAGAGTTTATTATCTTCTTATTTATCTTATTGTCGTTATCGTTGTCATCCAACACTTTCCTTAGAGGCAAAAGAAGCATTAAAACAAGAATATCTAAGAATGAGGAGGAGAGACGTTACCTCTAAGTAAGCAGCAGCAGCAACTGCAGCAGCAGCAGCAGCAGCAAGTGCAGCAGCAGCAAGTGCAGCAGCAGCAAGTGCAGCAGCAGGAAGAGTAGTAGCAACAGCAGAAGGAATATATATATTGCTACTCTCCTTTAATAAGATAATTATATATAAATAAATATAAATAATAATTTATTTGTATATGTACACACACCCCTCTTCTTCTATTAGACAATTATATGTATGTATAACTACTAAATAAATAAATAAATATATAGATAAATAAATAAATAAATAATAAATATATTTATTTATTTATATTAATTAATTTATTTATTTATTTATGCAGACATCCTTCTGCATCAATTCGTCAATTAGAATCCTTACTACGTTTATCTGAGGCCATAGCCAAACTTCGGGTGTCTAGGCAGGTCACTGCAGCAGATGCAGCAGAAGCTGTACGTCTTGTTCATGTTGCTACCTTCCAATCTCTTGTTGATCCTTTCTCTGGTAAGATTATTATTATTATTATTTTCCTGCTGCTGCTGCTGCTGCTATTGCTGCTGTTGCTGCTGCTGCTGTTGATGGTGATGGTGGTGGGGGTTAGAGGGGTGGTGGGGGTGTTGTTTCTTGTTTATCCTTCAAGGATGTTCTCTTGCTGCTGTTGCTGCTGCTGCTGCTGCTGCTGCTGCTGCAGGTCGTATAGACTTTGATCAGATACATGTTGGGCAGAGTAGGCAGCAGCGGCTGCTGCAGCAGCGCTGCAGCGAAGCACTGCAGCAAGTGCTGCTTGCTGCAGCAGCAAATGGATCAGGTCCCTTATCTAAGGAAGATCTACATGCTAAGGTGCAAGAGCTCCTTAAGGTACGTCTCCTTCTATCCCTGCTGCTGCTGCTGCTCTTGCTGCTGCTGCTGCTCTTGCTGCTGCTGCTGCTGCTACTGCTGCTACTGCTGCTGCAGGTTTCTTCTTTTTTTGTTTGTTGTGTCTGTGGTGTCTCCGCAGCTTGGTGGCGGCAGTCCTCATGTAGACATGAGTACTCTTAGTGCAGCACTGCAGCAACTGGAGGAAGATCGTAAGCAACCCCACCGCAGCAGCAACAGCAGCAGCACCAACAGCACCAACAACAACAACAACAACAACAGCAGCA